GTTTGCTCTAGTTCTAATTTCTAAGCATCATCTAATTTTTCTGAAAAATTGCCAAAATGATGGGCAGTATCCCCAAAAGAAATGCTGAATTTGTTATTCCCTACGCATATATGCGAATTTACAATGATTTTAATTTAAGCTATAGATGTCGTTCCCTCATTTTCCCTTCGCAAACTGGAGCTAATTTGTTTGTTTAATGTAATTTAACCAATCCTGCAAACCTGGATTTGTAAAACTTTAAAGTGTCGAAATTTTAAAATATCTAAGCTTGATCGAGCTGATATATATTTAAAATCAATCTTATGTTGTTGTGACTTCGATTTCTTATCTACTCATGGCTTCACATCCGCTTCTGGTACTTAATGCATTTTCATTTGCTATCTGTTCATAAGGTGGAAAAATTAAAAGACTAATGTTGCAAATCAGTTAGAAATGGGAAAAAAGGAGGAATGAGTTAGCAAGCAAGCTTCAGTTCGCTTCCTTAATTGCCACTTTGGCTAGTTTAGAAGATTTGGGGAAATTCATTTATCCACCTCAGGTTTAGTCCTATATGCGACTTCTACATACTAAATATTTCAATAAGGGCTCCGAGATTGCATTGAGATACGCTTTAACATAGTCGCCACTGTTAAAAACTTATTTGAAATTATTTCTGTTTCTTTACTCCTAGAAAGGGAAGAACTGAAACACCAAACGATAAAGCAGTCTTCAGGCCTAAACCCCAAACAATAACCAATCTAGGTGACGGTTTTCAGACCTAAGATAACTCAAATTTATTCTGTTGATCTAGATTTTAATAAAAAGTCAAGTAGAATGAGGGGCCAAGCAAATAGTCAACGCAGAAAGCATTGGTTAGTTTATTGTTCCCTTGCAGTCTGCAATTTCACCATTCTCAATGTCTGAAGAATCAAATCCTTGATAAAATCTTCTTGAATATTAACTCAAAATTTGGAACAAAAACATTTAAAACTTGAGAAGGTAGAAACGCTAGAGCAGTACTTGCACTTAACCAGGTTTTTGAGACTCCAGTAA